TAGAAAGCGGCCTTTCCCAAGAATGGAGTTTGTTAGCTAGCTCCCTCAGTAGCTTCTCTCATATAGGGGATTCAGAGAGTACATGGGAAAATCCCATTACCTTTTCATTTCATTTTCCACGAACTTTTTGAAGCTCCCTCAGACTGGTGAAATCGCAGCCAAAAGGCTCAGGAGAGACAAGGCCCATGGATGCAGAAGGGAAGGGTGAGGCACTGGGAGCTGGGAGAGAACAGCGGATCCGCCCTGCACCCTGTCGGTGCTGTGGGATGAGAGGGTGGCACCGGCATCCAAGGTAGTTGTCGAGTAGAGCTAATATTCTTGGGATGTGTGATGCACAGCCACTAGATAATGTCTGATGAAGCTCGAGATGACGTGTCAATTGGTCTGCTCCAAAGAAGCCCCAGAGGTAGTGGGTAGGCCCTCGGTTAGTAACCAAAAGGTCAGCGGTTCAAACTCACGAGGGGTCCACCCGAGAAAGATGTGGCACTTTACTCTCAAAGATGTGCAGCCTTGGAAATCCTCTGGGACAGGTCTACTCTGTCCTGCGGGTCACTATGAGCAGGAGGCAGCTTGACGGCAGTGGGTTTGACTTGGGTTTTAAAGATAATACAGTACCTCCCACTCAAGTGAGAACTAAATCAGCCCACCCCACCCCACTCCTATTAAAAACAAGGCAGCAAACAATAAAACCCTCCACCAAATCGGCCAGGGTAGAAATCTCCTTATCGTATCTGAGTATATCTTTCTTCTGATTTAGACACTCACAACGGCCGCCGGCGGGGGCCACAGAGAGAGCCCTGGAGCAGTGGTCTCTCCACCTTCCGCTCCCTCACCCCACCAAGTCTGACTCAGTTACCTTTTTCCTCAGGGCTGCTTTCGCAGGCCGCAGGGAATCGAGGTTCAACTGTGCACCAATGTGCTTCATCTGCTCCACGCAGGTGTCGACGAGATCAGCTGAAGGACACACGTCTAACAGTCAGAGGGGAGGCATCTCCAACAGTCACATCAAAACGTCGCAATCAGCCTCACAACACTTTTTACTGCTCAGCAACTACACTTTCTTTTCAGTGGGAGATTAAAGGATCAGAGGGGGAAGAAGATGCCGAAAAAAGCAGGAAGAGAACCAACATGCTAAAGTCTATTTGTTTCCAAAATTCCAAGTAAGCTATCCCCAAACCTAATTCATACTGTAGGCACACATTATGTGCTTTGGTAGCAAATCACAACGGAAATAAATGGCCTTCATGATGCCACCACGTGCTCTCAGCTCCAACATCTGTGTACCCAGATGTCCACATGAAGAACGACA